TTATTTTATGATAGCATATGATCCTGTCATTCTTCAAACACGATATCGTAAAGATTTAGCAGGACAACTTGGAAATCGAATGATGAGCATTATTATTTTCAAGGTTGTGGATTAAAAATCTTCAATTACCTGTTCTTCATCACCCTCTTCGGATTATTTAATTTCATATGCGAGTTAAAAAGCAGTGTACATGCTTTCGTTTATAACGGTTTTTCGGTTGAATTTGATATATAATCTTTCGTTATCCAGAGATATTTTGAGCAAAGTCGTTATTTGTTGTATCTACATATGTCATTAAATTAAAAGAAATGAAATTAGCATTTGAAGAAAAAGTTAACTAATGTTAAAGCAATAAATTTTTAAAGCAAAATCAAATTATATTCATATACTTTTTTTCACAAAGTTACAATTTTTGAAGTTGTGACGACATTACAACGCATTATGTCAGATACTTTTGTGCTAGAGGATTAATTTTACGTATGTTCTTAAGTACTTACACAGTTATCCGACATCACGTTTTATTGCTGTGGCTTTGGAAAAAGTTTAATACGTACTGTACGTAATACGTATCAAAGCCACATAACAAGATTTTTAATATTGATTATATGTAAATCCTCTTACATCTTAAATGTGTTAAAAGCTATAGGAAATGGCTTAGAATCGTGCTCTTTTTTGTTTTTTTTTTTATTTCATATTACAGTGATTTTTCAATTTTAATTAATTAATTAAAGACAAAACAATAATATTTTTACCGATAAAATTAATTTCACAGTAAAGATGGCTGGCAGACAACCTCAAGGTGCCGGTAGTCGTTACACAATCTTAATTATTGAAAATCCGGTGAATCAACCTCCGACTAATTGGTACGCATGTAATTAAAATATACAGTAAGGGAATCTGAATTTCTTTAGATTTAATGAAACTTTTTTACCCTTAATGAAAGGCCAAGATGTTATCCGATAATTTATCATGATATTGAAAACGATTTTACAAATGAAGATTATAAGAAAAAACTTCGTGCATCCTATTTTCTTTTTAAATGTAAATTATTTCATTATTGATATATTTTTTTTGTTTGAAAAGCATTAATTATTTTACATTGTTGCTAATATAGATACTTTTTTATGTTAATGATTTTGTAAAACAGTTTATATTGTAACACTGCTAGCACATTCTTTTGCTGATATTGCAATTGCGGCATCAAGGTTTAATCCAGCGCAAATATTGTCACAACTTATCGCTTCAGCATTATATCTCATCATTATGCCTCTTGGTGATTTCTTGGCCAGACATTTAAGTCTTTATACCGGTTACAAGTATGTATCGTTATTTTTATATAGTTATATTTTTTATACTCATTTATTAAAATAAAACTCAATGATTTCATTTATTAGATTGAATAATGAAATATTTTTTAGGTACTATTTTTTTGGTGAATTTATTGTAATTTTATTTGGTGTAATTATTGGTGTTGGATTTTTAAATGAAGGTAGTAGTGGAACTATTGGCGCAGTAAAATTATTTCAATTGGGATATTACGTGGCTGGTGTTTTTACTGTTATATTTTTGGTTATGGTAGTTATTCAAACAATCTTGCATTTTGTATTAATTTTTCAAGTAAGAATTTTTCTTGACTTTACTAATCATATACATCAATGAATGTTAAAAATTCTCGTTGAACTAATCATACGATTTTATCATTATTTTTTTTTAAAAAAAAAATAGGTTTATAGATATTTCAGAAGTCAAAATTTCAAAATATGCCCATGTTGTTAATAGTACATTCTATAAAATTGTGTTATCTATATTCTATGCATTGACTTGATGTTTTTTATATTTTGCTTAATTTCTTATTTATCAATGTTCACAAAAACTGAATAAGATACTAACATCCTCCTATCACATTTCTACTCTATACGTATCTCTTTTTCCTTTTCACATTGCATAATAATAAATTTATATTTAAGTAAAAAAAATAATGTTTAAACATTTATTTGAATACTATTCTCAAATTCTCAAATAGACTATTAACATAAATTTTAAATTTTGTAGTACTGCTAAATTCAATGGCATCCATTATTTATATTAGTAACTGGTACCAGCTTTATATTTTTGTAGTATCCTGGTCTGGAACGTAGTTATACGTGTTTCATTTGTGATTTGTTTTGTGTTTGCAGGCCCTCGAAAAAGAAAAAAATATCAATTTGTACTTTTTTTTTTTAGTTTACGTGTATTGTGGATAGGCACTGATTTACGAATCCGTGTAACAATTTTTACAAATAAAAAAAAAAGTAAACATCGCTTAAAGGTTTAGGGGGCAATAGTTTAGAATAAAATTTTCACAAAAGAATTTTTTTTTTTTTTTTTTTGTTAGAACCCAAAAGACGGTTTCATAATCGATTTTTAAGATATAAACAATTTCTTAAAGAAAACGATAATTTTACATTATGATGGATTTTGCATTCTGTTCGGCTTTTCCATATACCTATGTACAGTACATACACGTTTAGTGTACAAATAAAACCTTCCTTTATTTGTTTTGGTAATCTGGACAATACTTTATCGTTCGCCGTACTGATAAATGAAAATAAACCAAAAGACAAAATTTTTTGGTATTACAAAAAAAAAAAACAACTCTTAATTTATAGGTTCCTTCACTCAATAATTTCGCAAGATTAGAATTAAATGTGAGATTGACTCAAGTATCTTCTAAAAATAAATAACTTCTTTTAAAATATCTAAAGTAGTTTCTTCTAATTCTTTCAAAATTTTATTATGAGTAGTAATAAATTCTGATAATTGCGGTTATTAAATTTTAATACCTGGTCGAAAAAAACGACGGATCATGTTTAGAGGTTTTTAAACCCTATTTTCTATTTAAGAAAATACTACTAACTTACCTGGTTAAACGATATGATTGGATTTGCATTTGCATTGTTTTATATTATTATCATAGCTTTCATTGGTCTAATTCATTTGCTTGGTTTATAACGACGACCAGAGTATCGTTCGGACACTACCACTGATTAGCACCTTAATATAACGACATACACTACGAAAACACGCACCAAGAATATATAATACCCAGGTTTTATGTCGAATAGTTAACCAGTTAATTATTCGACAATAAGTATACTTTAACACATCGGGTTTTGCTTCTCTCATCGCGAACATGGACAGCGTTCCAATAAGGATTAGAAGATATTAATTTAATAACTTTGTTAAAATTTGCCAACAATGTTCGAGCTTTAACGGAGCAATAGCAGAGTTTACAGCCGAATAAAATTTTGATAAAGAAGAGTAGAATCCTCTGTTTATATTTTATCAAGACTTAAAAGGCTTTCCTTATTTGTCTTGATCGCCCCATATTATTAACTTCCTTATCGTCAAACTAATAAAATAAAATATAAAACACGTTAGATTTCAAGAATATAAAAAATCTTTTCATAAAAAAAACGTAAGTCCAACAAAACAACTCCGGTTCATTTATTTAGTATTTTCGAAAGAAAATATATCACACAATATCATTATACAGTATATAGGTTAAAGTCTAATAAATTTCAAAAATAAACTCTAATCAACACCAGGTTTATTTATTTAGCACTTCAATATCATTATATATAGGTTACAGTCTAATAAATTTCAAAATAAACTAACCTGCGGTAAAATTTGAAAGTTTCTTAATTGGTGAGAACTTTTTATAACCACATTGCTAGAAAATTCAGATCTTACGAGTACCCTAGCCATGGCAAAGAAGCAAAACATTCATTTTTGATACACCTGCACCTACTTTTTTGATACACTTAAATGCACCCCAAAAATTTTATTAC